AGGCTGTGCAGGCTGTGCCCTCGGGATTGCATCCCCTCTTGAGAACCCAGCTCGCCTCTGCACACGACGCCCTCGTGCATGCTCTCTCCAACCAGCCTCACATGCTCACACGCCCTGCCCCTGCCGCCTCCCAGGAGGCTGGTGCTCGCATGTTGTTACGGCCCGACCGTACCCAGTTTGCCCAAATACGTTCTCATGCTTGGCCTCCAGGTGCTCCTTCAGGTGTTCCTCCAGATGCTCCTCCAGGTGTTCCTCCAGGTGCCCCTTCAGATGCTCTGTATGGTGCTCTGTTAGGTGCTCTGTCAGGTGCTCCTTCAGGTGTGTCTTCAGGTCTTCCTTCAATTTCTCCATCAGGTGCTCCATCAGATGCTCCTCCAAGTGCTCCTTCAATCTCTCCTTCGGGTGACCGTTCAGGTACCGCCCCACTCGCCCACTCGGCCCCCCTCTCACGTGCAGCGTCAGGTGCTTTTTCAGGTGAATTCCCAGGATCTGCAGCTTCATTGCACCGGCTTTCCGAGGGCAGAGCCAGAACCCCTATCACCCGCTGTGAGAGGAAAACACATTCCGATCCGCAAGAGGCGCCTGGAGGGGGGTTAGCAGGAGAAGTGAAGCAAGAGTGGAGAGGGGACGGCAGAGACGTCAGAGAGGGAGAGGGCCATGTGGCACGGCGAATTAGAACCCACCCGTCGCACTCTGGTCCCCAAGAGGCACCTGGAGGGGGGGTAGCAGGAGTGAAGCAAGAGCGGAGGGGGGATGGCAGAGAGGGAGAGGGCCCTGTGGCACGGCAAATAAGAACCCACCCGGGAGACAGTGCCTCGGATTGTCGCGTAGACCGTCCAGCAGAGCAAGGGCTAGGAACAGTTGCTTCAGACCCTGTGGTTCTGCCTTTGAGAGAAGGAGGGCGGCTGATGCACCCGCAGGTGGAACAGAGCAGAGAAATGGAGCAGGCCAGAGGGCGTGTCTACAGAGGTGCAACCTCAGGTGGTAATTCTAGACAATCGTTGCCACCTGACGTCTCAAACCGTAGTCCTTCAAGTGACAACAACTTAGTTGGTGGAATTCACACAGCAGACAACAGCCTCTTCTGTAGCGGTTCAGGTGAAAAGAGCATGCGAGATGGAGAGAGCATAGCAGGTGAAACGAGCAGAGCAGGAGATTATTCTAGAGGCGAGCAGCAAAGTGTGGATCGTGTGCTATACTGTGGTCACACCGTCTCGGAGTTCTGTGCTGGCAGGGATGCTGTGACGGGTGCGGTCAGGGATGCGTGCGCAGATTGTTCTAGAATGCAGCAGCAGCAGCAGCAGCAGCAGCAGCAGCAGCAGCAGCAGCAGCAGCAGCAGCAGCAGCAGCAGCAGCAGCAGCAGCAGCAGCAGCAGCAGCAGCAGCAGCAGCATGCGGACGTCGCTTCGGGTGGGATAGTGGACAGGTCAGCTCCCCACCTTCGCCTGTGTGAGTGGGACAGCAATCACGTTGATCCTGCTCGTGCTGCTGCCAGTGGTAGTGCTGGTTCTGCTGCTGCTTCTCCTGCTCCTGCTCCTACTCCTGTTCCTGCTGTTGGTGCTGCTGCTGCGGGTGGTGTTGGTGATGCTGGTGCTGCTGGTGCTGCTGGTGCTGGTGCTGCTGGTGCTGGTGGTGCTAATGGTGCTGCTGGTGCTGCTGAAGGGAAGACCTGGCAAACAGTAGAAGGTGCTGACGTGGCAGGTAGCGTGCCACGTGGCGTTCATGCAGGAGGGGCAAGCGGAGGAGGCGGAGAGGGGAGATTAGCATCGGGCATCAAGGTCGAGCCTGATTCGGCTCTTCCCCTCACTTCCCCCCTTGCCAGCATCGTACATGCTGCAGCAACAAGAGGCGGAGGAGGAGAAAGGGGAGGAGGAGGAGGGGGAGGAGGAGGAGGAGGAGGAGGAGGAGGAGGAGGAGGAGGAGGAGGAGGAGGAGGAGGAGGAGGAGGAAGAGGAGGAGGAAGGAGGAGGAGGAGGAGGAGGAGGAGGAGGAGGAGGAGGAGGAGGAGGAGGAGGAGGAGGAGGAGGAGGAGGAGGAGGAGGGGGAGGGGGAGGGGGAGGGGGAGGGGGAGGGGGAGGGGGAGGGGGAGGAGGAGGAGGAGAAGGAGAAGGAGGAGGGGTGGCAGAAGGAGCAGCAGCAACAGCTCCTCAACCGGCATCAGCAGCAGCAGCAACAGCTCCTCAACCGGCATCAGCAGCAGCAGCAACAGCTCCTCAACCGGCATCAGCAGCAGCAGCAACAGCTCCTCAACCGGCATCAGCAGCAGCAGCAACAGCTCCTCAACCGGCATCAGCAGCAGCACCAACAGCTCCTCAACCGGCATCAGCAGCAGCAGCAACAGCTCCTCAACCGGCATCAGCAGCAGCAGCAACAGCTCCTCAACCGGCATCAGCAGCAGCAGCAACAGCTCCTCAACCGGCATCAGCAGCAGCAGCAACAGCTCCTCAACCGGCATCAGCAGCAGCAGGAGCAATGCAGCAACCCCAAGAGGCAGAAACGTTTCCCGATGCGTCAAGACCATCCGCAAGAATAAGAGGCAGCGTGGGAATGCAAGGCAGCGTGGCGGGGATGCAAGGCAGTGCGGAAGTGAGGGGCAGTGCGAGGATGAGAGCGAGTGCAGCAGCGCACGGCATGCCGTGGCAGCGCCTTCATTCATGCTTCTCCACCTCCTCCCCTCTGCACACCCTCCTCCCACTACAGCCTCCCACGCCCCACCCTCTTATTCCCCACCCTCTTGCTCTGCAACCTCCCGGGTCCCAGCCCCTCGTTCCCCACCTTCCTTCAACCCACCCTGTCGCTGTTGATCCTGTCTCCATGTCCCAAGCCAATCACCCTCCTTCCAACCATCCTATCGCTGCCCACCCACTCGTCGCCCACTCCAACCACCCTCCCACCAGCAATTCTCCTGCAAGCCATCCGCCCTCCAACCACCCTCCCACCAACCACCCGCTTTCCAACCACCCGCCCACAAACCACCCTCCCACCAACCACCCGCCCACAAACCACCCTCCCACCAACCACCCGCCCACAAACCACCCTCCCACAAACCACTCTGCTTCTCTCATGAAATCGTCCGACTCCCCCGCTGCGGTGCCCCCTTCCCTGCCCGCCTCTCTCTCCGCTTCTGCCATCATTGCTGCAGCTGCTGCTGCTGTCACCGCTTCTGCTGCTACTGGTGTCTCTCCTCCCTCAGCCCCCAACCTCCCCCTCCCTCCTCCTCCCCACTCTCGCCTCCCTCCTCCTCCCCCTCCTCCCCTCCCTGTTGAGTACCATGCTCTCTCCTCCCCTCTCCCTCGTTCCACTTCCCCTCTCCTTCCTCCGCCCTCTCTCTCTAGGACCCACACAGCTCCAAATCACACAGCACCGAATCACACTGCACCGAATCACACAGCACTGAATCACACAGCACCGAATCACACAGCACTGAATCACACAGCACCGAATCACACAGCCCCAAATCACACAGCACCGAATCACACAGCACCGAATCACACAGCACCGAATCACACAGCACCGAATCTCTCAGGCCTGACTCACACAACACTGACTCCACCATTAATCAACCGCCCTGCCGTTTCTGTTTCGACCCACTTTCCGGCACACATTGCTCCAGCCATGGCAGCACCATTAACTGATTCCTGTGTCTCTGCTGCTGCCTCTGCTGCTGCCTCTTCTGCTGCCGCCTCTTCTGCTGCCTCTTCTGCCGCTGGTGCTGTCTGTGCGTCTGCAAACCCTGCCAGCACCGTCTCACCACAGCACATGATCCCAACAGCTCACCCACATGCCTTGCCCTTCACTCTTTCAACCCCTGTCACTACTGTTGCACCAATGTCAATACCTACAGGCCCCCCTGCACCCACTGCACCCCCTGCTGTAGCACCTCTGCCAACACCTGCCGCATGCCCTGCACCACTGCAAACACCCACCGTACCCCCGGCTGTAGCTCCGGCTGCAGCACTGCCAGGTGTCGTCTTACCAGTGGCCATTCTGCTGCGAGCGGTGCTGTCGCAGGTCGCACCCACCACACCACTCCCCTCCCTTCCGATCTCACCCTCTCCTGCCTCTCGTTTCCCCACAGCTGCCCCCACCCTTGCTGCCACTCCTGCTGTCGCAACTCCTCCTGCCGCTGCTGTTTGTACTGCTGCTGCTGCTCCTGCTGCTGCAAATCCTGCTGCTGCCACGGCCAGTGATGCTCCTACCATTGCTAGTGATGCTGCTGCCTATGCAACTCTTGCCGGTTTCTCTCCTGCTGCAGCAGCAGCCCCCTCGCAATCCCCAGCAGCAGCAGCCCAGCAGCAGCGCCAGTCAATGCAGTCAATGCAGACAACGCAGTCACAGAGAAAAACAGAGAATTACCCGCAGGTGCAACAGCAATCGCTGCAGGGGCGACAATCATCGCAGGGGAAGCAACTACAGCAGGGGCAGCAGTCGCAGCAAGGGCAGCAGCAGTTGGTACGGTAGCAGGTAGAAACCCAGGCGGGTCAGCAGCAGGCAAGGCAGCAGCACGTGGCAAGACCAGCACACCAGCTGTCAGGGGCAACTGAGTTGCATCAGGGCGTGACTCAGCAGTCAACCCAGCCAGCACAGCTAACCCGGGAGCAGCAGGAGCTATGGCGGTACTTGGAGCAGCATTTGGTACAGCAGTTAGGGCAGAAGTTGGTGCAGCAGCTGCAGGAGCAGTTGGGGCAGCATCTGGGTCAGCAGGTAGACGCCCAGGGGGGTCAGCAGCAGGCACAGCAGCCAGTGGCAAGACCGCCACAGCAGCCATCAGAGATTACTGGTTTGGTTCACGGCGTGACGCAGCAGTCACCCCAGCACCCCAGCCAGCCCTGCAGCAACCAGCCCGGCAGCAGCAAGAGTTATATCGGCAGGTGGAGCAGCAGTTGGTACAGCAGTTGAGGGAGCAGTTGGGGCAGCAACTAGGTCAGCAGTCTGAGACACAGCAGCACGCGGCAAGACCACCACAGCCGCAGTCAGGTGCTTCTGACTTGCCTTCGGGCGTGACTCAGCAGCAGTCAAGCCAGCCAACACAGCAAACCAGGCAACAGCAAGAGCTGTGGCAGCAGCTGGAGCAGCAGTTGGGGAAGCGGTTGGGGCAGAATTTGGGGCAGCAGTTACGGATTGCAGAGAAGAAGCAGGTAGAACAGCAGATAGATCAGCAGCAGGTGTGGCAGCAGCAGAGCCATGGCACGAGCCAAGAGCACGGGAGGCAGAGGGAGGAGGGTTCAGAGGCCGTCAATTTGTTGGATCTCCGCCTTTAGTGCCGCTCCATGGGCCCCTTGCACTTGGCATGACTCTGTACGATCTGCTGCTGACTGGTATCTCATCTGCACAATCCTTGGATAAGCGGCCGATACGGCATGGAAAGCAGACCGCCATGTGAATGTGGTGCGGAGAAGCTGTAGATAAGACGGTGGTAGACCACCGATCATGCGTTGCTAAAGCGGATAAGGTGCGGAACAAAGGTATTGCTGAAGTGAGGAGGAGAGTAGGGTAGGATTGTAGTGATTCCATTTGGTTTGCCATAGAAGGTGCTGTTCACAAGTACAACCAATATTGTATTTTTTTTTTAAGAGTCTGTACATTGGACAACCAATATTGTATACTTTGTGTATATCTTTACGAACTGAAGACTTACTATGTTTGATCCCCGATTTATCAGTCACGTGTTCACTGCTAATTTTGACATGGCACCAAACCCCCTAAGGAAAAAGCCACAGTTCCGCACCATCGTTCTCCACCGCATTCCATCTCACTGGGTTCTACCCATCACCTTATAAGCGTGCTCTATTATGTTGTCTACAGTGAATCCGAACTTATGGAACACTTCAAGATAGTGCCCGCTGGCACCAAATCGCTCAACAGAGAGGACAGAGCCCTCGGGTCCCACCCACTCGCACCAGCCCTGTGGGTGGGGGGCAGGGGCAAGTTCTGGCAAAAATCAATTATACACAACAACGGCCGGGCAAATCATAATATTATATATTAAACAGAACCACCAATAGAAGCAGCAGCTATAACCAGCCTACCCTACCTGGGAGCGAGCAGCCTCAACGGCCAGTCGTTTGGTGACACGTGGCGGCAGCACAGCGTCCCGGTATTCCCGAGGCTGCTGCCTGAAGAGCTCCCAGCAGGGCAGAGACACCACCTGCACGCTGCTTGCATGGGATGCGAGAGAGGGAGGGGGGTTGAATGGGGGATGGGGCATGGTTTGGCAAGTCAGAGAATTCTTAGGCGCCTCATAAGAGCTCCCAGCAGGGCAGAGACACCACCCGCACACTGCTTGCACGTGATGCGAGGAGAGTGGGGGGGTTGGGGCATGGGGCATGGGGCGCAGGTTGGCAAGTCAGAGAATTCTTAGGCGCCTGAGAAGAGCTCCCAGCAGGGCAGAGACACCACCCACACACTGCTTGCACGTGATGCGAGGAGAGTGGGGGGGTTGGGGCATGGGGCATGGGGCGTTGGCAAGTCAGAGAATTCTTAGGCGCCTGAGAAGAGCTCCCAGCAGGGGAGAGACACCACCCACGCACTGCTTGCACGTGATGCGAGGAGAGTGGGGGGGTTGGGGCATGGGGCATGGGGCGCAGGTTGGCAAGTCAGAGAATTCTTAGGCGCCTGAGAAGAGCTCCCAGCAGGGGAGAGACACCAGCCACACACTGCTTGCACGTGATGCGAGAAAAGTGGGGGGTTTGGGGCATGGGGCATGGATCATGGATTGGCATAGGAGAAGGGGCAGAAGATTACTTAGTGCACGCTGCTTGCATGTGATACGAGGGGAGAGCAGGAATGGGGTTGGCATGACTTGGAGATGGGTTGGAAGCAGGAACCCCAAGTGTCAAACCAATGCTGCGCACATGTGATGCACACAGAAAGGGTTTGGGCAGGTTGAAACAAACAAAAGAGCTGACAGATCTGGATTTTTTTTTTCCCCAATAAATATATATCACTTCCAGAATATGTGGCTAGGATGAATGAGATGAGAACACATGCACAAGCAGCCTTTATCACTCTCACCTGTACCCTTGCTGGCGAAGCTTGTCAGCAGCTTCCTGGCAGAGCACCAGCTCCGATCCTGACCCAATCAGAATCAAATCCAAATCCAATCCACCTTCTCCTCCCTCTCCCTCCTCCTCTCCTTCCCCTCCCCCCCCTCCCAGCACATACCCCCCTTTCAACACCCCCTCCCTGCACGACCCGTTGAGCTGAGCTGTCAGCTTCTGACGGGACAGCAGGATTGCGGTGGGCCCCACGCTGCGCCAGATTGCCGCCACGTAGGCGCCAGCTGTCTCGATGGCGTCGCCAGGACGGATGACGTGGAGGTTTGGGATTGCTCGGAGGGAAGGGAGGTGCTCCACTGGCTGAAAAGAAAGAAGAAAGCAGAGGAGTTAGGAACAGAGGAGGATTATGGGTCAGCGCGTGTGAGCAGATGACGTGGAGGTTAGGGATTGCTCGGAGGGATGGGAGGTGCTCCACTGGCTGAAAGGAAAGAAGAAAGCAAAGAGGGGAGTTAGTAATTGAGGAGGATTTAGGGTTGACTCTTGAGTCGACTCAGAAGTGAGGGTCAGCGTGTGTGAGCGGATGGCGTGGAGGCTGGGGACTGCCCGGAGGGATGGGAGGTGCTCCACTGGCTGTAAAAAGAGGGGGTTGACAGGGGAGAGAATGGGGGTGAGTAGAGGAGGGCCACGGAAATGATGGTTGTTATCGTGCCCGGATGACGTAGAGGTTGGGATTTGCACGGAGGGAGGGAATATGCTCGACGCAGTGGGAAAATGGGGGGTGGGGAAGGGGAGGAAGAGAAGGGGGCATCGCTGCATTGACAACAACATCACATGCTTGGGGGGAAATAAGGAAGGTTAAAAACAAAACAACATCACTTGCTTGGGGGGAAACAAAAAAGGTTAAAAAACAAAACAACATCATCTTTAACAAAGGTTAAAGAGGCTCACCTGGTGCGTGGGGCCGTCCTCCCCCAGCCCGATGGAGTCATGGGTAAAGACAAAAAGCACCCGGGCGGCGGAGAGGGCGGCGAGACGCAGCGCCGGCCGCATGTAGTCAGAAAAGACGAGGAAGGTGGCTGCCACTGGGATGAGCGCGCGCGAGTGCAGGGCGAGGCCGTTGCTGTGGGGGGGAAGAGAACCATGGAAGGCAGGTTGAAGGAAAACAAATGCGGAGTGGGGTGGGGAGGGATGCTGGGATGAGATGTGCATTTTCTCATGCCTTCATGTCCCTGCACCTCACCTTATCGTCGCCATGCCATGCCATGCCATGCCATGCCCTCATCTCTCACCCATCTCAGCATCGCACCTGATGGCAGCCATGGCATGCTCGCGCACGCCGAAGTGGAAGTTGCGACCCTCAAAGCAATCTCGGGAGAAGTCCGGCAGCCCGTGAAATGACACCTGGGGGTCCATGTGTGGAGTGAGAGAGGGAGGGAAGGTGCCTTTGGGTTGCGGGTACAGAGACAAATTTTGAGGCGCCTCTAAGGACGTTGCAGCCCTCAAAGCAGCCGCGAGAGAAGTCCGGCAGCCCGTGAAACGCCACCTGGGAGGGGGACGTGCGAATGAGGGGCGCGCAGCGAGAGGGAATGAGGGGAGGGCGGATTAGTGGGGCGTGGAAAGGGAATAAGAATGAGGGGAGGGAGGGAATGAGGGGAGGAAGGTGGCTGATAATAAAGAATGTGGGCTCATGCTGGCAGTCTCTTGCATGTCATCTCAACGCCACGTCAGCATTGCTCACCTTGTTGGAGGATGCCAGGTCAGCACTGCCGCCCAGAAGGTTGGGCAGCGAGTGCACGAGGCCATTGAGACACGCCTCAGAGTAACCGCGGGTAGCATCGGGAGGAGTTGATGGTTCAAAGTGCTGGGGAGGAGGGGGGAGATGGGAGGAGGGGGAGAGATGAGAAAAGGGGGCTAGGGAAAAGGGGGAACGTGACGAGAGATGGGAGAGAAGTGAGGTGGGTTGAGGCACGCCAACGATTAGCCTCACATTGCGTGAGGTCAGACAGGTGGGTTCGACGGGGAGAAGTGGATCGGGTGGAGGGATGCAAAGGGAAGGGGAGGCGGAGGCAAGGGCACTATGCATTGAAGCACACATTAGAGAGTAACCCTTGAGGCGTTAGGAGGGTCTTTTCAAGAATTCCTTCCCTCACCCCCTCCCCTCCCCTCCTCTCCCCCTCCCCTCGTTTCCCCGCTTCTCCTCCCTTTCCCCTCCCTAATCCATCTCTTCACCCACCCTCCACCCCCTCTCACCGGCAAAGAGTCCTCCCAGCCAGCTAGCAGCCGCCCGGGCACTGTGGGTGTGTCGTGTCCAACTCACCCCAATCCGCCCTCCGCCCCTTCCCCCCCTCTCCCCCTCTCCCCACCCTCTACCACCTCCCTCCATCCGCCCTCTCTCACCGGCAACGAGTCCTCCCACCCAGCTGGCAGCCGCCCGGGCACTGTGAGTGCGTCCAAAAGCGCCGCCCGGTCCGGGTGGCGCTGGCGGTACTGCGCCGCCCGATCCCTCCAGCTGGCAGCCGCTGATTGGCCGCGCGCAGCCGCCTGATGCATGGCCCTGATTGGCGGATGCAAGAGGGAAAATCACAACGATGCGGCACAACAGCACAACGCAAGAGGGCACGATAGCAGCACATGCGGTTAAACCTACAGAGATCAACAACCTCAGAGCAACAGCACTGACGGGAGCCAAACAAGTGCCTATTGGGGCCCAGTTGACTTTCAAGTCGACTCAAAAGTCAAGTCGACTCAAAAGTCAAGTCGACTCAAAAGTCAAAGTCAAGTCGACTCAAAAGTCAAAGTCAAGTCGACTCAAAAGTCAAGTCGACTCAAAAGTCAAGTCGACTCAAAAGTCAAGTCGACTCAAAAGTCAAGTCGAGTCAAAAGATCATCAACCTCAGAGCAACAGCAATGAAGGGAGCCAAACAAGTGCCAATTGGGGCCCCTCCCTCCCCACCTCACCGATAAACCTCTTCTGGAACAGTGAACGGCTCGTGTGTAAAACAAGTGCAGTTCCTTCTTCATGGCTTTCGTCTCCTCGGGTCCCATTGCCCAGTGGTGGGCCGCACGGGTGCCCTGCTTATTAGGCGAACCGAACCCTATCACCGTGTCCACTCGAATGACCAATTGCGGGTGGGTTTCATTCTTGCCTGCTTGTACGCCCCTTCGCCCCTTTCCCATTTCACCCACCTCACCTGTACACCTCCTCAGGAACGGTAAACGGCTTGCTGTGAGGCCTTTTGAGTGTCTTCCGAATAGCTTCAGTCTCCTCGGGCCCAAACGCCCTTTGGTGGGCCGCACTGGTGCCCTGCTTCTCAGGAGAACCAAACCCAATCACCGTGTCCACAGGGATGGGCGCTGGGTTTCATTCTTGGCGGCTTGTATGCCCCCTCGCCCCTTTCCCCTCTCCCCACCTCACCTGTAAACCTCGTCAGGAACAGTAAACGGCTCGTTGTAAGGCCAGTGCAGCGTCTTTCTGATCGCCTCCGTCTCCTCCTTCCCAAACGCCCCATGGTGCGCCGCACTGGTGCCCTGCTTCTTGGGCGAACCAAACCCTATCACCGTGTCCACTTGAATGAGGGATGGCTTGTGGGTTTCGTTCTTGGCGGCTTGTATGGCGGAGCGGAGAGCGTCCAGGTCAGCGGCGTCGCGAAGCGTGATTCGCTGCACGTGCCACCTCAGCGCGGCGAAACGGCCCAGGACGTCCTCCGAGAAGGCGAGATCCGTGCTGCCGTCTATGGTGACCTGGGGGGGGGGGAGGTGGGGATGGGGGGAGTCAAAAGTCTCAAGAGCAATCGAGGACGTGTCAGTAGCAGACAGGTGGGCTACAGAGGCCGAAACAAAATCCAGTGTACAGAAAAATGAAAGGAAGACAAGAAAAATCTATTATCACGAAGAGCTGCTGCATCGTCAAGAGCAAATGAAGCGGCAGCAGCAGCAGCAGAGCTTCAGCGACCACACGAAAATCAGTGGCAGCACGTTTTGCAGCTTCAGCAATCACACGAAGATCAGTGGCAACATATAACAACTTTAGTAGCAGAAGCACCTTCACCAGTACGATTACGAGCACCAATACTAGTGTGACTTGTGCTCGTGCTCTTACTGGTGCAGGTGCTTCTGCAACTGCTCAAGCTGCTAAATGTGCTGCCACTAATATTCGTGCGACCACTGCAGCAGCAAAACGTGCTACCACTAATGGGCTTGCCCAGGCCCAGTGACCTACCAGTGATGCTACTACCACTCCCCAATGACCCATTTGACCATGATTAACCCGCTTGTTCCAATCGAGCCAATTCACCTGGGGTTCAACGCACCCACCCCACACCCAGATGTATCTCTTACCTGGTTGGAGTCATAGAAGGCGATGAGTTTTCCCAAACCCCAGTGGCCCGCCAGAGATGCTGCCTCGTTCACCACTCCCTCCATCGCACAGCCATCGCCAAATACAACGAACCTGGACAACAGCGGCACAGGCAGCAGCACAGGCAGCAGCACAGGAAGCAGCACAGGAAGCAGCACAGGCAGGAGCACAGGCAGCAGCAACACAGGGGTGGGGTTACAGCGAGAACGAGAGCTTTTATCAGGAAGCAAAGGGATTTGAGACGATGACGACGCAGAGGGCGAAACATACAATGAACCTGGACGGCAGCCGCACAGGCAGCAGCACAGGGGAGGAGAGGAGGCCCGGGCGTGAGATTTCAACGAGAAACAGAGCCAAGACAAGGCGGAACAAGCCTGTGGCTGGGATTGGGATAACATCACATCACAGTGACATGCATGGCAGCACTGTCTAGTCAACGAGGTCAATGCGGTAAATGAAACCAGTGAGTGAGGTGTAACTCACGTGTGGTGGTCAATGAGGTCAGGAAAGTCAACGGTGTTGAGGCGAGCACTCAGGTGCGCCTCTGCTGCTGCCACCCCCACCGCATTCGCAAAGCCCTGCCCCAGTGGGCCTGCAAGGAATTGCGCACAAGAGAAACAGACATGGAGGCGAAAGGAAGGTTTGAGACGTCTCACTCACAGCTGGAACCTTCCTGGAAGGAAGTCGACACGGAGGAAGACCAGGAGGAGGAAAGACTGCGGGATTCCCAAACAGCATTGACGCAAACAGCTTCAGCACAAAGTCCACCTGTGGCGGCCCCCACCTCACCACCACCCCATCCAAGCCTACCTGTGGTGACCTCTATCCCCGGCGTGAGTGTGTTCTCGGGGTGGCCTGGCGTCTTGCTCCCCAGCTTTGCCAGCCGCTTCAGATCCTCCATCTGCTACCGCCGGGGACGGGGGGGGAGAGGTTTGGCAAGAATATCGAGGGGTTGGCAGGGATACCGAGAGGCAATTCAACTGAACGTTAAATTCCGTCATGTGCAGCAGGCAATACTGCAGGAGGCACACGTGGCCGTTGCTCAGGATGAAGCACACCTGAACACCTGAACACGCGTCCCACTCACCTGGATGTTGTATCCCGTGAGGTGCAACAAACAGTACTGCAGCAGGCACACGTGGCCGTTGCTCAGGAAGAAGCGGTCACGATTCGGCGCGTAGCAGCAGCTTGCCCGTGCCGCCACACTCCCAGCTCAGGGGGTAGCTTACAACTCACCTGAAGATTATATCCAGTCAAGTGGAGTAAACAGTACTGCAGCAGGCACACGTGGCCGTTGCTTAGAATGAAGCGGTCGCGGTTGGGCCACGCGGGATCGGCGCGGTCGAAGCGCATCTCCTCGGCGAATAGCAGCGCGCCAAGTGGCGCCAGCCCCATGGCGGACCCAGGGTGCCCCGCGTTGACGTTGTTGACCGCGTTGACCACCAGCATGCGGATGGTGTTGATACACGTGGCAGCCAGGGATTCGTCCGCCAGCTGCACGGGAAAAGGGGGGACGGGGAGGGGAGGGGGAGAGTGGGAGAGAGCGGAAGGGGACAGGGGGAGAGAAGGGGAGGGCGGGGGTGAGCGGGGGAAAGCAGGGTGGGAAAGGTGACAAAGAATGGGAGAGGACTTGTGAGACGACTCAGAGGATGGACAAGGGATGGAAGCGAAGGAAAGACAGGAGAGTGGAAAGACAGAAGAGTGGAAAGACAGGAGAGTGGAAAGACAGAAGAGTGGAAAGACAGGAGAGTGGAGACACAAGGCCAGCTGAAAAGGGGGGCCAACTAGACCACGAGAGGGCTGCAGGTAAAAACGTTGCATCCCTGGCAGAGGTTGACCCCGTTGACCCCGTTGACTCCTTTTGACCCCCTTCACTCCCTTGAAGCTCAACACTCACGGCCGATTTTCCCAGCTGAGCTGTCTCCTTCCCATCTTCCACGTCAGCTCTCTCCGCGTCCCCATCTGCTCTCCGCCCCATGCATCTCGCCTTCAAATCACCGCCGCCCCTCGCGCGACCAACTCTCGCCGTCCAATCAAAGCCAAGACCAATCGTGTCATCGCCCTGCTGTCGCAAACGTGGCGGCTGTGCGAAAGTTCGCCAGGTCGGCGACACGCGACACGCCAGGTCGGGGAAAGCGGCGGCAGCAGCAGGAGCGGCCGCTAAAGGCGCAGAGGCGAGACACGAAGGGTTATGGGGCACGAATGACGCCATGGATCGCGCTTCCGGCTCGCTGCTTCTTGAGTCGACTAAAAGATCGACGCGCTTCCAGCTCGCCGCGTTCTGCCCGCGCGTGATAACGGCTTATTTTCTATTTCTGATGATGCCAGTGCGGTGCTCACACATAGCGCCTACTAAACGGCTGCTCCAAACCGATCGATGGATAAACGATGCACTGCAGCTGTGACAGCGGGCAGCACCGGCGCCGCGGGGAGGGGAGTTTCAAGAGACTTGGCGCGGTAAGGCGGTCGGAAGAAGAGCGGTGGAAAGCGGCGTTTGCGGGGAGCATGCGCGGAGGGGAAAGGCTCCTTTTCTGCGCCAATTGTGTAGAGGCATTCGGGGAGGACGAGGGCGGGAAAGGGCGGAAGATGGGGGATGTGGTGGCGGAAGGGAAGGCGAAAGCGGCCCGATGGGCGAACATGATTCGTGGCGAGCTGATGCCGCGCTTCGGCTACTAACGCCGAGGCGCAGTGCGGGGGTGGTGAGCTGTCAAGCGAGACTACGAGGAGAATCCGCGACGCATGCATGGCGAGCGGGGTGCGCGCGACGCGTCGGGGAATCAGTGGCGAGAAGACGGAGCGAGCCACGCAGATACCCGCGCTAAGAACGATGCTATGCCAATGTCGTGCTCCCACATTGAACGCATCGATAACAGATTCGCTGACTAGATCTCAGTCCTTAAAATATGGCAATCGTCCAAGAAGCATAAAAGAAAAATGAACATATAAAGCCACGTCTTAGAAACAACAAGCCGGTGTAGCTCAGTGGTAGAGCATCTGTCTTGTAAACAGAAGGTCCAGAGTTCAATCCTCTGCGTCGGCACGCCTTTTTCTCGATCTCTTTCGCGCGCTCGCTTTTATTCCCTTGCTCAACCGCATCAGTCAAATTGGTCTTCCCTTTTGCCGCCGCGTTCCTCGCTGCGCGTATCGCAATGGGCCTCTTCGGCGACTTGCCTCCGCCGTCCAACGCTCCCAAGCCACCGACTCGCGCCAACCCCCCGCCGTCAACGTCAACTCCGTCTAGCATACCGTCAACTCCTGCCGAACGGCCCGCGGCGGTCGCGACAAAGACGTCTGCACTCAAGTCGTCACTCAAAGGGAGGACGGACTCCCGGGGAGAGGAGGGGACGGGAAATCTCAACGCGGGGGACGCGGGTGGGGGATCGGGGGAAGGCGGAAAGACTAGGAAGCGCGTGGGGATGGCTGTGGCAGACGAGGCAGACGGCGACGGTATGGATACTGCAGACCTCGTTGACTGCCGTTGACTTTGTTTGACCTGGTTTGCTGACTGTGCTGTATTAGGGTTGCATGTCGCCTTTGCTCTCGCGCCGCTTATTTGCTCCCACCTTCCCCCCACCACTCATCCCTGTTCCCCAACTCTAAATTTCTAATTCCTGTTTTGGTTTCCGTACACTTAATCTCTTCGTTTCTGCGTTTGCTAACCCTACTCTCTCATTCCCCTCTTACTCCACCCAGATATCCCCTCAACGCTCAAACCTACACATGATCGCCCAACCATCCCCCCCCCCTTCCCAACCTCCCTTTCTTTTCCCCCCTTCTCCCCCTTTCTTGCCCCCTTCCCCACATCCTCCTCCCCCTTACCAGCCCCCGCGCGCCGGCGGGTGCGCTTCCACACGTTTGCTGAGGTGGCAGAGGACAAGGTGACGTCAGCGATAGCCAAGATCGCCGCGCACATCGGCACGCCGGCCAAGTTCAAGAAGGCGGCCGGCCTCGCTCGGCAGCTTTTGGAGGGCGGCGCCCTGAACAGTGCCGCAAACAGTGGAGTGAACAGTACTGATAACAGTGCGGTGGAGAGCGGTGGTCATGCGGGTCGTTTCTTTGGAGTGCTGCAAGCAGCAATGGGGCTGCTGCAGAGAGAAGGAGGAGGGGGGGCGGGGGGCATGGTGGTGGGTGCTGCAGGGGACGTTGGGAGCGAGTATGCTGCGCTGATTGGCGCTGCTGTGGAGAGAAAGGAGGTGCGTGAAGGGTGGGGAGGGGAGGAAATGGGGGAGCATGGGGTTGGCAACAACGAGACACAGGTGCTCCTCCAATGTCCCCCCTGTCCACGTGATAAAAGAGATGTTTTGAGACGTCTCAAAACATCTCTTTTATCACGTCCCCATTCTTCTTCCTCCCGCCAGCCTACTTGCCCCTTTTCCCCCACCCTTGCTTGCCCGCACCCCCACCTCTCTTGCCCCAAGCTCCCCCAGTCGCCCACTTCTCCCCACCCTTGCATTCCCCCGCCCCCCCTTCTGTGCAGCTGTTTGCGCCGTGGCAGCAGCAGCAGGTGGACGTGTGGGGGCTGCGCACCGTACTCACCCACTCACTCCGCACAGACGACAGCTTTCAGGTGGGGGGAGAGGGGGGTTGCTGGTGGGGGGGTTGGTTGAGTTGGAGGGAGTTGGGGGGGCAGTGGGCAGGAAGGCAGGTGGGGGCTGCGCACTGTGCTCACCCACTCCCTGCACACCGATGATAGCTTCCAGGTGGGGGACTGGTGGGGGTGAGGCGGCAGGTGGCAGGGCAGTGGTCACTTGCATTTCCAGTCGACTCAAACGTGGACGTGTGAGGGCTGCGCACTGTGCTCACCCACTCACTGCGCACCGATGATAGCTTCCAGGTGGGGGGGGGAGAGGGGGGGCAGGTGGGAACAGATGGCGGGGGAAACGAGTCTCCCCTCTCCTCCTCTCCGTTCCCCCTCCACTCCAGTTCTCCAAAGCTGTGTCTCGAGTGCAGCAGGAGGTGGAGCGACAGCCAGAGGCACTTACGCTCTCCTGCTCACCTCCATCACTTCCCCCTTCCCCTCCTCCTCCTCGTCCTCCCTTCCACCTCTCTCCCCCTCCAGTTCTCCAAAGCTGTGTCTCGAGTACAGCAGGAGGTGGAGCGATTTCCAGAGGCACTTAAAGCTCTCCTGTTTACCTCCCTCACTCCCCTCTTCCGCTCCTCCTCCTCCTCCTCCTCCTCCTCCTCCTCCTCCTCCTCCTCCTCCTCCTCCTCCTCCTCCTCCTCCTCCTCCTCCTCCTCCTCCTCCTCCTCCTCCTCCACCTCCTCCCTTCCACCCCTCTCCCTTTCCAGTTTTCCAAGGCAGTGTCTCGAGTACAGCAGGAGGTGGAGAAACTGCCAGAAGCAGCAGAGGAGGATGAGAGGGAGGAGGCAGGGCTGTTTGCAGGGGTGGCTATGCAGGTGCAGGGCAGAGAGGAGGGTGTGGAGGGGGAGGGAGAGGGAGTGAAGAGGGACGAGAAAGGGGAGGGGAGGGGGGAAGAGAAGGCGGGAGGGGAAGGGGGAGGGGAGGAGGAAGAGGGTGGGGAAGAGAGACGGGTGGACAAGAAAAAGACAGGAGAGAACGATGCAAATGCTGCAGATAATGCTGCAGGTTCTGCTGCAGACCCCTTTGGGCTTGACGCTATGTTGGGTCTTAGTGGGGAGAAGGGAGGGGGGAAAGGTGGTGAGGGAGAGGAGGAAGAAGAGGAGGAAGAGGAGGAGGATCCGTTTGGGTTGGGCGAGATTATAAAAAGCAAGCAGGCTATGAGGGAGGAGAAGAGGAGGAAGGAGAGGGAGAGGAGGAGGAGGGAAGAGGAGGAGGCGCGGCAGAGGGAGGAGGAGGAGGAGAGGAGGATGTTGAGGGAGAGGCGAGAGGCTCTGCTGCTGTGCATTCAGACTGCCACTGAGATGTACCGGCACAAGTGGTGAGTGCGGAATGGCCTCAAGCAGGAATGTTTATGAAGAATGCGATAAGTGTGAGAATGTGCACAAGTGGTGAGTGCGATGTGCTGCTGTGCATTCAGACTGCCACAGAGATGTACCCGCACAAGTGGTGAGTGACTGTTCCCAGCACAAGTGGTGAGTGACTGTTCAGGGTCAGAGGTTTGGTTTGCACTGGTGGTGAGAGCTAGGGTGAGAGAAAGGAGGATCTGCTGCTGTGCATTCAGACTGCCACTGAGATGTGCCGGCACAAGTGGTGAGGGTGAGGAGGTTTGAGTTAAGGCACAGTTGGTGGTGGTGACTCGTGAGTGCGATGTGCTGCTGTGCATTCAGACTGCCACTGAGATGTGCCAGCACGAGTGGTGAGTGTGGGGATTTTTTTGTCGAGGCGCAAGTGGTGAATGGGTGCTTGAGGCGTAGGGTGTGTGCACTGTGCACAGATGTTGATGGCTGGGGTGAGTGGTGAGCGCGCAATGTGTTGATGTTGTGCATTGAAGCTGCCCGAGAATGAGCCAGTGCAAGCCGTGAGTGGGAGGAGTTTAGTCGAAACACCTTGGTGAGTGGATGATGCGCTGTGGTGTGTGTGCAAGCACTGCCAGGCGCCAGTTCACTGTTCATCCTTCCCCCATCTTCCCTCTCCTCCCCCTTTTCCCCTCCGCTTGTTTTCCTCCCCCTCCTCTTGTTTTCCTCCCCCTCCTGCAGGGCCCAGACAGCTATAGACATGCTGGCGCAGCACGCATACGACCACATGCAGTGTATTGATGGGACCTGCCACTCCCCGTTACTGATCTTCTCTTATCCTTCTTTCCTCCTCCCCCACCCTCCCCTCCCCTCCTGCAGGGCCCAGACAGCTATAGACATGCTGGCGCAGCACGCATATGACCACAGGCGGTGTACTGATGGGACCTGCCACTCCCCGTTACTGCTCTTCCCTTATCCCGCTCTTCTCTTCCTCCCACCCGTTTCCCTCTCTCAGGGCCCAGACAACTATAGACATGCTGGCACAGCATGCATACTACCACAGATGGTGCATTGATAGGACCCGAGGCACCCGTCACTGCTCGTTTCTGATCCTGCTTTTCCTTTCTCCCTGTGCCTCCTCCTCCCCTCCCTGCAGGGCTCAGACAGCCATAGACATGCTGGCGCAGCACGCGTACGACCACAGGCGGCGCTTCACCGCGCGGCAGCGGGGGGCAATCGAGGCGCTGTGGACGAGCGTGAGGCAGCAGCAGCACGAGCGCAAGCACGGCGCGGGCAGGGGCGGGACAGGCCGGCTGGATGTGACGGCTTTTGAGCGGCTGCAGCGGCACTATGAGGGCGAGGCGATTAGTATCAGGAAGGGGGTGGGGGGCGGTGGGGGCAGGAGCACAGTGACTTGGCTGGGGTAGCAGCTGTGGCACGAGCGGAAGCACGGCGCAGGCAGGGGTGGGACAGGCAGGCTGGATGTGAGTGCCTTTGAGTGCCTGCTGCGGCATTATGAGGGCGAGGCGATTAGTATCAGGAGAGGGGGGGGGGGGGGGGGGGGGGGCAGGAGCACATGGCTGGGTTGAAGTGTGAGTTGCTGTTATCAGGAGAAGAGACGAGCTCACGGGTTGTCACTGCCACAAAGTATGCTGGGGGTAGTGGAACATTGAAGGAGCATAAATAACAGTGAAGTACTGTACCTCAACTTGAATGGTTTTAGTCAGTGCAGCGCACTACTGCACTCTAGACTTGAAGGGGTTTAGAGGTCGCCTATTGAGAGGTACTTGCCTACCTTTTTATCGGGTACTCTACTAGTACACCCCAGTACGACACCCGGCACAACACCCCGGCGGTTGCGTGTGACAGAAGCGGATTCGTCGCGTTTCGTTTCAAGACACAACCGACATGACGGGCGTGTCGATTCGAGCTGCAGAGGAAGGCGAGTCGAAGCTTGGTAAGACCAACCGACGCGATGTGGAAACGTCTGGAAACGCCATCCAATCGGTCAATTTATTATCGCACATTTGCAAGTCGTCGCAAATTGCAAACATGTTCCACAAGTGGTCAAACGCACCCCATTTCGCAACACCTCGCAAATGGCACATCTGTCCCACGATCAGTCAAACGACCCAAATTCGCAACACGTCGCAAACGGCAAATTTGCACCACTACCGGCCGACTTGTAGTTTGGCCGGCACGGCAGCCGTCATTTCCAGTTTTGTGCGAGCGCTGAAATGTGAACGACGGATAGAAGTTTACGACCGGCGACATAGATGCTGTGCTAGTGCTCTAAGCAAAGGAGAACGAAGTCGCATCGAGTCGCAAACAGGTGAGCGGTAGAACTACCAGCCAGACCAGCAATCTGACCGGCATGACAGCCGTCAGAACAAGCCTCTGCGATTGTCAAGATGACGCTCAACGACAACACGACTGAGGTAGTGTTGCCTGCCGCCCCAAAAGCCTCTCTTTGCGGACCTTGCCACGTAGCAGGCCTGACGTATTAGCGAAAACTTTCAAGCTTTTTCCGCGTGCAGTAGGAGCCAAACTAGCTTGAGCTGTTTGCTTGCAGCTCCAGCTGTTTGCAACGCGGTGCGGCCCGTTGGGGAATTGGCTTCGTGCCCCTAGTAAGGATGACGACAAACGTCGTCACTGCACGCCACCTGTTGCCTACGCAGAAAGTCCGATTTCCCACAAGGGAGGGAAAAAAACTTCGAGGCGCAGCTTCGTTGTCAGCGTCCTCGTGCCCTGCAGCTGTCAGCAAGAGTTGCCCTTTTCCCAGCATCAGTGGGATATCCAGCCGATAAAGCACCATTGATCTCAATCAAGCAGTGAGCTGAAGTCAAGCGTTCCCTTTCACGGCGAATTTCATTACATTCGAAATCTGTAGCTGTCTCCGTCGCTTTTCGTTCTACTGCTCCACCTCGACTCCCTATACTTCACAAGGATGGCGCAAGCCAAGGCCGACCCCATCCCGCCGTGCGTGGTCGTTTTGCTTCCAGACGGCTCGGCGCGCCTGTACGACGACGCGCGTCTCACGGCGTCGACCGTGCTCGCCGACTTTCCCCGCCATGTGCTCCTTTCCACCCTCAGCACCGCCACGCCTCGCACCCCCTTGCCACACGCCGCGTTGCTCAAGCCCGGACGAACATACTACCTCCTCGCCGAGACGCACCGTCCGCGAGCGGCGACGAAAGTGGCGGTTGATATTTCGTCGCTACCATCGCCATCGTCGTCGCAGAACTCGCCGAACGTGTTTCGCAAGTCGCAAACCCTTCATGCGTCCCCGCTTTCGACGCTGTCGCCTTATTCTCCTCCTTTGTCCGAAGGCGCGATTCCGCTGGATTATCATCATGGGCAATCGCGCAGCTCTCCACCGAAGTCGTGGAATGAAGGAATTGCGGAGGGATACATTTCGAGAACCACCAGCACGTGCGAGCTTCGTGGGAGCAGGATTTCGCAATCGGGTTACAATGACTCGATCGCAGGCGTTCCCCCATCGCGGCGACACGACGGACACACCGCCAACCCTATACTCCAAGAGGCAGGTTCCACCAGACTTTCTGATTCCGTTCCTTATATTACTTCTTTCTTCCCGTTGATGCTTAACCTAACAAAAATTTCAGAAATCAGTTACATACTATATAACAAAAGCCCTAACCTGCGTCCGCCGTTTCCCTATCTCGTGGTGCAGTTGGAAGCTCTTGAGGAGATGACGACCAATGGTTCCGCGTACGATACTCGCGACCACCAGTCTCCTGTCGAAGCGCCTTCACCAATCTTGGCAGAGCAAATCACAGCGACTCGGCGAACACCGTCCAACCCATCCAAGCCGTCCATAATTGACAGACTCCCTCAGCTAAAATCGTGGAGTTTTAGGAGCAGAGGCGCACCGAGTCGGAAGATGAACAAGAGTCAGACCCAAAAGAACATGTCCGTCCGCATGGCCGAATTTCCAAATCTCGGCAGAAGCATTATCAGCGGAGGACATCACATGGCGACGCCAAGCCACCGTGAAGAGGAGGGAGCCTTCTGGAAAAATCTTGACGACAGGACCATGATGTTCACGGACACGCAGATTCTGGTTAGCCAGAAGGATATTGAAGCAGATGTCAGCGCGGCTACACCCACTCGCGCTGCCGTGATCCGCGCTGGGGTGAAAGTATACCCGAGAAGGCTACCGGAGCAAGTGGAAGAACCCCGCGCTTCGGATTATGAGCACTACTATTCTCAGGCCTTCCATCCCAGATGCTACAATGAGTCGATAATGGGTTGAATAGCATGATTATTCCACATATGTCTTCCTCCTACTTCGAATTTTTTTTTGTTAACAACATACAGCTTTGTAACGAGGATTAGCAACCAGAGCCTGCTTCTCCAAGGCCAACCTAGTTACCCTCTTGCCACTCACCACAACAAAGATACCATTGACGAGGTTCGCTCAACGAACCTTTTGCCTGTGGCGACCTTGGCGACTTTCAGGGTGCATGGTTGCCTGGGTTAAAATTTCGCTTATGATAAAATCAACATTGACCTTTTCAGGTAGACGCTTGGCGACAACAAGACCAGATTGTAATATCAGAAAGTGTTTCGCATGAACCTTTTGCGACGGTCGCCAAATCCGCTCGGCGACAAGAGGACCAATGTATGTGTGGTCGCTCCGCTCCGCTCCTCTCCATCCATCCATACCTCTCCGCACAAGACAAGCAGAATCAGGGTGGAAGACAACTTGGCGACACTTTCTTTGAAGATATTCCACTAGGTCGACTGCCAAGTAGCGAACCTGACAAGACGACTTTTTTTATTGTCTCGCGTTCTAGAACTAGGAGCCAGATACCGTTCTGCAATGGTCGGGATAAGTGTCTGCTGCTTCGATTTCGATTGTCTGTTGTTAGGCACGCGATTCGAGCTGTTGCGTGCCCCTTCAGAAGATGCGGTCCATACTTCGCGCATATCGCTTGCAATCTAGCGACGGGAGAGAGAGAGAGAGAGAGTCTTGACCTTGTTTTTCCTTTCCTTCGTCCGATCACATCACGACGTTTCGTCGTATCGTCGTGGAGTGTTGACATCAACAGCTCTGCTATTTCAGCGATTCACAATCAACCAAGACTGTCCCGCGAGCCAGGGAAAGCCAGCTCCTGAAACCCCGCTCGCATTCATAACCCCGCTTCGTTCAAAAACCAAGCGTCAGTTCTTTCTCATCTAAGATCACGAGTTACTGCTCCTGCTTCCGCGCTCGTTTACCCCCAACATCATGGCACAAGCTCTCTCGAACCATCCGGCCATCTTCCAGTCCCCGCCGTGCGTCGTCGTTCTACTTCCAGACGGCTCGGCGCGCCTGTACGACGACGCGCGTCTCACGGCGGCGGCTGTGCTCGCCGATTTCCCCCGCCACGTGCTCCTCTCCACCCTCAGCACCGCCACGCCTCGCACCCCCTTGCCCCCCTCCGCGCCGCTCAAACCCGGCCGAACGTACTACCTCGTTGAAGAGACACATCGCCCGCGATCGGCGGCGCCCGTCACGGTGGACGTTTCGTCGCTAACTTCGCCGTCGTCGTCGCAGTCGCCGAGCTTGTTCCGCAAGTCGCAAACCCTGCCCTGCACCAGCATGCCTGCACGCTCTCCCCATGCTTCTTCCGAAGCGACGTTCAGAAAAAGCCCTCCGCAGAGGACGGGACACGACGACCCGAGAAGCAGGATATCGCCGCGACCTCTTGGAGCTTTCAGCCCGGTTTCTCCGCGTTCAACACTTCCGCCGTATTCTCCTCCTATGGCGAAAGGCAGGATCCCGCTGGAGTGTCATCACGGTCAATCGCGCAGCTCTCCGCCCAAGGCGTGGAAGGAGGGAGTGCCACTCGTGGAGGAGACGGGGTTCATTTGGAGAACCACCAGCACGCCACCCTGCGAGCCGCGTGCCGGAAGCAGGAGTGGTGTTTTGCGAGGCGCTGCGCCTGTGGTGCCATCCCGGCGGCTAGATGGCGGACGTGCTGCCACCAACCCAATTCTTCAAGAGCTTGAAGCCCTGGATGACGTAACGATTGATGATCCCGCGAACTGTTACCAGGGCCGACATCCTTCTCTCGTCGCGCGATCCCAATCAACCATGGGGGGCCCGGTTTCAGAAAGTCGCCGAGCATCGGCGAATGAAGCTAAGTCGTCTATGATCAACAAGTTGTCTCAGCTGAAATCGTGGAGTTTCAGGAGCAGAAGTGCCACTGGTAGGAAGATGAACAAGAGCCACAGCCAACAGAACATCCCCATCGGCATTCCCGAGGCTCCAGGCCTTGGCGAGGACATTTTTGGCGGAAAGCAGCAGACAGTGACGCCACGGCAATGTGAAGAGGAGGGGACATCCTGGATTAATCTGGATGACAGATCCATTATGTTCACAGACATGCAGATTCTAGCTCGCCGGGACAATATTCGAGAAGACGCCAGTGCGACAATACCTGCTGCTGCTGCTGTAGCTGCCAAAAATGGCCTGCAAAGGAGGGTATTTCCAAGACGTCTTACCGAAGAACCCTACGTTTAAGACTATGAGCAGTACTATTCCCAGGCCTTTTACCCGAAATGCTACAAGGAGCCCATTTATGGCTGAAACGTTGTTGAATATTGAGACATTTCTTTTATTGAATGTTCTAACCATGTTCACATCAGATTTGCAGGCTACATATTATGTTGTCATTAAACTGAACACTTGGAGATTTTGAACATATAAAGTGGTACGTCTGCACTGGTGCTTGTGAAGTCGCCTTGTTGTGGGCCATTTGATATGCGTCAAGCCGAACTGTAACACGGAGACACAGAGCTTGCGGAAACAGCTTATGAATTCTTCCCACGTTGATTGGTTGATGCTCGGTTGTATGCAGTTTAGGGTCGTGTCGCGTCGCAGCCCACAGACCAAGCGCCACTGTACACGTTGAAAACGTGTCATCGACGATGAACATCGATGAATGACAGACCACCAGCTCTTTTCTAATCGTGACCGTCGAAAAAACACACACACCGACCTAGATGACCTCACAGTTATCCACTTACCGTCAGAAAGCTAAGGCAATCGCGCGATTTGCGAGATTCGCGATTTTGTGCGACCGTTATTTGAGCTGAAGAACCCGTAGCGACGAAACCCTGCGACTTGCCAGCACTGTTGCGACGATTCAACTTGCAACGCGTAAGTTCAACTATGCGAAGCTCGCCCTTCCCTAGTCCTGTTCTAAGGACTAGTAAGAGCCAAACTTCCCCCTCTCCGGGGGGCCTGTTGTGTACCGAGGAAACTGCTGGTGCGGCGCGTTTCGTCGTCGCTGAGCTGACCGCCTATAACGCGCCCATTTTGCCACAAGAACGCGTAACAGCTGAACGGACTCCACACACTTTTGAATCAAAGCGCCGCGTGATTTCCGCAACGAGTGTCATAAGAAGCCGCGCCTGGCCAAGCGAGCGTTAGTAACCACAGCTACAGATACAGTATTATCCGCACAGCAACGCGGTCTTTTCGAGAGCCAAGTCGCTCTAATCCGCTACATAAGGTCCGGCTTTTCCCGACACAATGTCAAGTTGTCTCTCTCATTGCATCACACCACCGACCCTTGTCTCTCTCATCCCAGTCTATGCAGCATCCAGATTCCTTGAACAATCTATACTCCATTCTCCTTTTAAGTCCTTGTGTTTATTGCTGTTGCGCCTTGAGAAATAGATTTTTCCACCGAAGTCGTCATTGCACGCATGGCGCAAGTAGTAGAGACCGACCCCGCCTCGTCCTCCCTTTCCCCGCCGTGCGTCGTCGTGCTGCTGCCAGACGGCTCGGCGCGCCTGTACGACGACGCGCGTCTCACGGCGTCGACAGTGCTCGCCGACTTCCCCCGCCACCTGCTCCTCTCCACCCTCAGCACCGCCACGCCTCGCACCCCCTTGCCACACGCCGCGGACCTTGAACCTGGAAGAACGTACTACCTCGTCGCCGAGACGCACCGTCCGCAAACGGCGGCAAGAATCGATGTGGAAGCTTTCGATTCGGCGTGTTCAGATTGCCGGGCTTCCTCCCGTAGGGCGCTGCAGAAATCGGTGACGTTGCCTTGCAACGGCGTGACGTCACTCGCGCTTACGCATCATATTGCGAACAATGAGACCAAGTGGGATAGTTTACCCGCTTCGCATGTTAACTACAGATTGGGCCCTGGCGACTGGAGGTCCGAGGTTCAATCAAATGACGTCGTCCCCAACACGGGGAACTACGACGGACAGAGGTCACTCGGATCCTACGGTCCAGTTTCGCCGCTCTCGCCGCTGTCTCCCTATTCTCCCGCGCTTTCCACGGTCAGCGACGGTGCGACTCCGATTCCGTATAGGTTTAGTCACTACTATGGTGACGGTGGCGCGCGGCTTCCGGCGTGGCAGGAAATGGAGGGCGTGGGGAGCACCGACACAATGCAAACCACTTGCACGTCTGACACTCGCCGACCTGCGAACCCTATTCTCCAAGAGGTTAGTTTGACACATAAAAATATCTTCCTGCTCCATGTTCTTTTTCCGCATGCAGCGAGTTTCCTCTCATCTTGTCACATAGAGCCTAACATGTTCGTCGTTCCCTTGTATTCACTATCTGCAGCTCGGCAATTTCGAGAATATGACCGACAGTCGCTCACCCAACAACCAACAGCACTCTCCCCATTCCTCCAACGGCCAACTTCGCGGAAGACGATCTCTCGATTCTCTCGCACAGCCAATCACAGCGGCCCGCCGACCATCGCCTAAGCCGTCGTTACTGGACAAGCTTCCCCTACTCAAAGGATCGAGTTTTAAATCCCGCAAGGCTAACACCGGTCGGAAGATCAGTAAGAACAGCGAGAGTTGCGGCGACATTATCAGACAGAATCAAGAGGAGGAAGCTTGGAGTAATATTCACGACAGATCAGTGATGCACACAGACACACAGATTCTCGCTCGCCGAAATAAGCTACCCGAATACTCAGCGCGTGTACACGCGGATACCAAGGTGTATGCTTGTAACGAGGATATGTATGCAACTGGCTTGAGGATATTCCCAAGGCATGCCCCGTCGCATGGGGCGGGAGAGGATGGGTTTGTTTTCAGCCACGAGCGACACCACTCGCAGCTGTTCTATCGCGGATGCGGCTGTGAGGCCATGTATGCCTAACTACACTGCATCTCCACCTCTCCCCTGCGCGTATATCTGTATATGTTAGCAACCTGTGTAATAAAAGTAAGCCATGGTTCATGGACACAATTCTTATAGCTTTAGAACAAACAAAATGAACTACCCCTTCTCAAAAGCAAAGCAAACTTCAAGTCGGGGTAGCAGTAGGAAATGCATTCCAGGTCCCTGATCTAGGTAATCTCACTCACATTCATCAATCCTTGTTCACATCCCAAACTTCACCCCTCAAACCTCACACATGGTTCCTGGAAATAGCAGTCAGCTGCTCTCCAAAATCCCTAAAACTCAGTCGCTCCTTCGCAGTCCCTCCCACACACGCCTCAATCAGCCGCCCCAGCTGCTCGCGGCTCTGCAGCTCTGCTGTGGTCTCGGGGGCTGAGAGGCGCGTGTAGAGTCCCTGGAGCAGCAGCGCGAGTGCTCTCACCTCGTGTGACTCAAAGGGGATGGCACTGTGGCGAGGGTAGGGGAAGGATGCGCCTGCACATGTGACAAAAGGGAGGGTAAGGAATGTAGGAGTGTGAGGAGAGGCGGTTCATTGTGACGCGCCTCTAATTCTGCCAGGATGCTTACACATCCTCATGCGGCCAACCCCACGCATGCATCCACTCTGAAGTTGACGCTAGCCCCCTCCCTGCGGCCAATCTAACCATGGTGACAACTCGTCATCGTCATTACTCATCATAATCACAACTCATCACAATCACAACTCACCACAAACACAACTCATCACAATCACAACTCACCATAGTCACAGCAACTCACCATAGTGACAACAACTCACCATAGTCACACAGCACAGCGAACCCCTTGTCGTCCACAAGCACGTTGTGAGCATACACGTCCCCATGCGCCCACCCCCCTACAGAGTGGATGCCAGCCGCCTCCCCACAGCCACTGCTACTCTCACAAATCACCAAAGCCACAATAACTCACCATGGTCACAACTCACCATTGTCACAACCCTTCCCAGTCACAACTCACCGTAGTCACACAGCACAGCAAAGCCCTTATCATCCACAAGAACGTTGTGTGCATACACGTCCCCATGCGCCCACCCCCGCGCATGCATCCACTCCAAAGCCGATGCCAGGCCCCTCCCCACGGCCACCACAGTGGCGAGCGAGTAGGACGCGGAGGGGGACCAGCGGCAGCGCAGCAGCGATTCACCGTTGGGTGGGTCCGCCATGGCCCTGAGGGAGTTGTATGGGTGGGGGAAAGTGCAAGGGGAGAGAGATGGGAGGATGTGAGCACACTAAGCACATAGGCGAGCGAGTAGGAGGCAGTGGGGGGGGCAGAGGCAGCACAACAGGGAGGATCCGCCATGGCTATAAGAAAGCGGAGATGAAGGTGAAAGTATGGAGGGGGAGAGATGAACTAAGCAGGGAGCGCTTATAGCCAGAGCCTCCCCCCTCCCAATGACATGAAGTTGCAGGGATGCAAACAAAAAGTAAGGGAACATCCTAGCGAGGCAGAAATTCGCAACGGAACATGCAAAAGCACAGGGTTCCCCTTGTCCCTGAAATGTCTGCTCCTCAGCTCAGAGGCGCAGGCGCTGTGAAAGCATGCCCCAAATCCCCCTCCCACCCCCCCTGCACCCACCTCCGCTGCTCCCACCTCCCTCTACACCCACCTCCGCTGCTCCCACCTCCCTCTACACCCACCTCCCGCTGCTCCCACCTCCCCCTGCACCCACCTCCCCCTGCACCCACCTCCCCCTGCACCCACCTCCCCCTGCACCCACCTCCCCCTGCACCCACCTCCCCCTGCTCCCACCTCCCCCTGCTCCCACCTCCCCCTGCTCCCACGTCCCCACCCACCCACCTTCCAAACACGCGTCGCATGACCAGCCCATGCGGCTGTTCCACTGTGGCTTCCACCTGACAAGCAGGCACAGGGAGAGGTAGAGTGTGTGGATGAAAGGGGAGTAAGTAGGGGTGGGTGGGATTGATGTGTGATGCAGAAGGGGATCAGCGCTTGTCGCATGACCAGCCCATGCGGCTGTTCCACTGTGGCTTCTGCCTGACGGTGGGGGGAGCAAGTGGAAGAGGCAGGAGCACAAGTGGGGTCAAATTGGGAGTGAATGAATAGGGCTCGACAAAATGGTGCGTGCTGAGGAGGAGAGGAGAGTAGAGCATGTCCGTACGAACATTCACCTCACATTCTCCCTCACATTCTCTCTCCAGCATCTGACCGAGGTGGAGGTGGTCGATAGCAGCAGTCATAGCAACCTCATTCACTGCCCGCCCATTCCTTATAAAGTACCTACCTACCCCCTTACCCCCCATTGGCAGCACGCCCCCTTAAGCAACAGGCCCCCCCCCCCCCTCAGGCAGCACCCCCCCAGCCAGCGACCCCCCAGGCAGCACCCCCAGCCAGCGACCCCCCAGGCAGCACCCCCAGGCAGCACCCCCAGCCAGCGACCCCCCAGGCAGCACCCCCAGCCAGCGAACCCCCAGGCAGCACCCCCAGCCAGCGACCCCCCAGGCAGCACCCCCAGCCAGCGAACCCCCAGGCAGCACCCCCAGCCAGCGACCCCCCAGGCAGCACCCCCAGCCAGCGACCCCCCAGGCAGCACCCCCAGCCAGCGACCCCCCAGGCAGCACCCCCAGCCAGCGACCCCCCAGGCAGCATCCCCAGCCAGCGACCCCCCAGGCAGCACCCCCAGCCAGCGACCCCCCAGGCAGCACCCCCAGTCAGCGATCCCCCAGGCAGCACCCCCAGCCAGCGACCCCCCAGGCAGCACCCCCAGCCAGCGACCCCCCAGGCAGCACCCCCAGCCAGCGACCCCCCAGGCAGCACCCCCAGCCAGCGACCCCCCAGGCAGCACCCCCAGCCAGCGAACCCCCAGGCAGCACCCCCAGCCAGGACCCCCCAGGCAGCACCCTTCGGGCAGCACCTGCACGAGGTGGGGGTGGTCGACAGCAGCCGTCATGGCGATTTCGTCCACTGCCCGCCCGTCGGGACTGGTCGCGCTGTTGAACTGCTTGAACACCACCTCGTGCCCGTGCCACACCGCTGCATAGACATCGCCTGATGGCATGTAAGAGGGCGTGGGAAGCAGAGGATAAAAAGGGAAAGGGGAGTGGAGGGGTGCAAGGAGTGGACTGTCCGGACTGGTCTCGCTGTTGAACGGCTTGAACACCACCTCATGCCCGTGCCACACCGCTGCGTAGACATCGCCTGATGGCATGTAAGAGGGCGTGGGAAGCAGAGGATAAAAAGGGAAAGGGGAGTGGAGGGGTGCAAGGAGTGGACTGTCCGGACTGGTCTCGCTGTTGAACGGCTTGAACACCACCTCATGCCCGTGCCACACCGCTGCATACACGTCACCTGGTTTGTGAGGGGGTAAGTGAAGGGAGGGGTGTCACAGAGCGAAAGGGGCATTGTAAGCGGCTAGCACTGCTTGAACACCACCTCGTGCCCGTGCCACACCGCAGCGTAGACATCGCCTGGTGGCACGTGGGAAGGGTAATTGAAACATTGTGAGGAGAGAGGTGGGGAATGAATGGGGCACTGTGACTGGTCTCGCTGTTGAACTGCTTGAACACCACCTCGTGCCCTTGCCACACTGCTGCATACTCGTCACCTGGTTGTACGAGGGAAAGGTGATTGGAACATTGTGAAGGGAGGGGAGTGAAGGTGGGGCACTGTGGCTGGTCTCGCTGTCAAAGTGCTTGAAGGGGCGTGGAATGGGGAGGGCGGGAGAGAACCATGCAAAGCGGGGAAGACACAGAGAGCACTCATACAGGGAGGGATAGCACAAACCACTTGCACCGTCACCCAGTTTCCTCCCCAGCTGTAATTCCCCAAAGAAAATGTCCTCCACCCCTTGGTGGTGGTGCGGCGGCAGTGGCGGGCAGAGGAGATTGCTGGCGAGGGGGAGGAGCGAGAGGGAGGAATCGCACCTGGGGAGGGAGGCACTCACCACTAGCACCGTCGCCCAGCTTCCTCCCCAGCTGTAATTCCCCAAACGGAATGTCCTCCACCCCCTGGTGGTGCGGCGGCAGTGGCGGTCAGAGAGAGACAACAGGTAAAGGGGGGAAGGCACACGGGGCTGCACCCAAGGAAGGATGGCACTCACCACTAGCTCCATCTCCCAATTTCCTCCCAAGATGCAGCTCTTCAAACGGAATATCCTCCACGCCCTGGTGATGCGGCGGCAGTGGCGGGCAGAAGGGGTTGCTGGCGAGCGACAGCCACGCCAGGTGGGGCAGCAGTGCGAGGGCGGAGGGCAGGGCGTGCAGGTTGTTGGCTGCGAGACGGAGCAGTTCCAGGCGGGAGAGACGGCCCATGGATGATGGCAGCTCGTACAGCTGGTTGAACGATGCCTGTCAGGTGGATGCAGAGTGAAAGAGGAGGAAAGGGGGCAAGGGTAAGCATGCTCCTCAGGGCGTGCAGGTTGTTGGCTGCCAGGCGCAGCAGCTCGAGACGGGAGAGATGACCCATGGATGATGGCAGCTCGTACAGCTGGTTGAAGGATGCCTGGTGGATGCAGAGAGAAAGAGGGGGAAAGGGGGCAAGGGTAAGCGTGCATCCTCAGGAAGTGCAGGTTGTTTGCTGCCAGGCGGGTCGAGGCGGGAGAGATGGCCCATGGATGATGGCAGCTCGTACAGCTGGTTGAACGAGGCCTAGTGGGTTCACACAAAAAGAAAGAGAATGGGGGCAGGGGAAAAACTCTCATGCCAATTCCCACCTGTGCAAGATTGTGTAAACAATCTTGTCTCATACTGAAGGTTGGTGGAGATTGGAGGGAGCCGGTCGGAGCTTGTGGGTGGGATAGAAAGCTGACCTGCAGTTTGACGAGGTTGGTGCAACAGCCAATGGAGTCAGGCAGGGCCGTGAGATGGTTGTCCGTGAGGTAGAGCTCTACCAAAGACGTCATGCCGCCTATTGATGTGGGCAGGGCGCTGATGGGCGGGAAGAGAAGGAAGCGCGAGAACAGACAGCAGGGCATGTATTTGAGCACGGGCGGAAGCATGGAATAATAGGCTGCACCTAATCTAGTTGCTTGCAACCGCACCTGAGCCTGTTGCTCTTGAGCCCCAGGCGAAACACCCTCGTCAGCCGCCCGATGCTCTCAGGCAGGCTCTCCAGCTGGTTGCACATCAGGTTGAGCGTCAGGAGCTTCGTCAGGTGCCCGATCTCCTCAGGAACACCTGACAGGTGGTTTCGGCCCAGGTCCAGGTGCTCCAGGTGGGCGAGCCGGCATATCGATTGAGGAAGACTGAGGGTGGGGTGGAAGTAAGAGAGGAGGTGGGGGGGGGGGTTGGAGGGAGAGGTGAAGGAGTAGGGAAGGGACGAGACAGGAAACTGGGTGGAGAGGGAGGGGCACGAAGGAAAGGAGATTGAGGGAAAGGAATAGCGGAGGGGTGTGGAGAGGAATATAGACAAGCTTTAAGTCGTCTTAGTTCTCACCTTGTAAGCTTGTTTCTCGACAAATTGAGTTTCTTGAGCTCAGAAACGGACAGCACGGCGTCGGGGAATGTCGAAAGCCCATTGGCTGACAGATCCACGTCACGCAGAGATGCCAGCATGGCGAACGAGTCAGGCAGCGGCGAGGGGATGGCTGCGAGTCTGGGCTCGTTGGTGAGCTTCAACTGGGGGGGAATGGAGGTGCGAAATGTGGGGCGAAGAGGGACCACGTGAAACTTGTGCCTCAAAAAGCCGTGAGGGGATGGCCGAGAGTCTGGGCTTGTTGGTGAGCTTCAACTGGAAGGGAACGGTGATGAGAACGTGGGGCAAAGAGAGACGACGTGAAATTTGTTCTGTGACGCCTCAAAAAGCGGCGATGGGATGGCTGCGAGTCTGGGCTCGTTGGTGAGCTTCAGCTGGAGGGGAACGGTGATGAGAAATGAGGGGCGAACAGGGACCACGTGAAACTTGTGCCTCAAAAAGCCGCGAGGGGATGGCTGCGAGTCTGGGCTCGTTGGTGAGTTTCAACTGGAGGGGAATCGTGATGGGAATGTGGGTCATTGAGGGAGAACCGCGGATATAGCTTGAGATGATGTTCGAACATGTTAAATAACCACCGCTGGTACGCTGGTACGCAGAATCGCCTGTCAGACACACGTAGTGATTGCGCAGTGTATGAATTGTCGTCTGATGCTCGTGTTTTGTTGCACCATGCTGCCGAGCTTTCAGAGAATTGTCACAAGGGAAAGTTGGACGTGAGAATTGTCGCCGAATTTCTATCCAATCTGCGTGGTGATGTGACGCAATGTCGTTTGGGCTCCTCTTAAGACGTAACACGAGTAACGAGCTACATTCTTGAACACACTGGTTGATTGCTTAGAGGAGCTACTGGATAAGCACACTTATTGGGTGGTCCTACTGGCACTACTCACGCCGATAACCATCTGTCCAATCGCGAGACGCTGTAGCGAGGAGTGCCAGCTGTCACCCGTCAACGCGATCAAGTGATTCAGTGACGTCAGCGTGACTCCCTGCCGTTCTTTGTCTCCATTCCCGCCATTTCCGCCGCCTTTTTCGGGATCCGTTCCGAGGAAAACCTGCAAATAACGGCCGCGTAGAGCCCACACGAGGCAGGCAGTACCAGCCGCCGCGCAGGCCGCTAGAGCTACTGCGGCTTGGGGCCCGCCACGTGTCACTGCGACAGTCGACATGACGTTCGAGACGCGAAGAGAGAGTCTAACGGCCGGAAAATCAGCGGATACGATCGGATAAATTGGCCGAGTACCACGAGAGATAGTAAACTGATTGGTCCAACGGCCTTTGTGACTGCCTCAGTTCGAAGAGCGGCACAAGCGACAGTCGACCAGGCGTCCAGTCAAAGCTTCCGCGATTGCAGTGAGCCTCTCGCTGCAGGTTGCGGAGCTGTGCGGACTAAAGGCCTTGCCGAGACGCCTGAAGTTGCTGCTCGGGTTGCAAGTCACATTCTACAGCTTGAAGCTGGATAAAGCAAAAGCAAGGACACTGGATGTTTGCGGTGGGATGTGTGAGGCCCCCGGGAACTCCCCAGGCGAGAGGGGATATTGGGGGAGGCGTAGGCGGAAGGCCAACACTCCACAGTCAAAAGCAGTCCCTAGGCCAAGGCTAGGCCGTTGGGATTGCAGTGCGACGTTCTTGGGCCTTGGAACTTTCGCGAAGTGTGAAGCGAGGGTAGTTCATCGTTTCGCAATGCCTTCAACGTGTGCAGAAGTTACAGTTACATATTTCGACATTGTCGCAGCCAGTACTTGCTCCAACATTGCGAAGGACCGATTTGTTGGTTGGTGGCCGATTGACAGGTTCACTGGCGCGAAGCACCAAGGCCACAACAATCTCCTCCAGGCCTGGATCGACTTCTGGAAGGTTGTGCGGCCCGTCAGAACGAGTCCTCGATAATAGCTTATACGCACTGTATGTGTCTGTTTCATACAAAATGCCGATTGTACACCACATAATTTAAACACCAGACAACCATACACCCCCGTCCAAACCATTGCAGTTGTGGCGGCGGTTGCCCAAACATACACACACTCCCGCCTGCTTTTCCCAAAACCAGAAGCCCCTGGTCACCGGCAATTTCGAGGCCTATATGCTCCACCCATCAGCAACCACCCTCGGGTTTTTTATGACTTTGAAAGTGTAATGTTTGGGACTGCTTATTCAAGTATGAGAAACGCTAATTGGTTCACAACCCTGACTAGAATTTTCAGCCCATGTGGCATCAAACAGTAGGAGTTTTGCAACATTGACAAACTGACACATGAAAGCATCATCTTTCACTGCCCTAGAATCTCTGGTGTCCCGTTGATTTTGCCAGAAAATGCATGGGTGTCTCACTAAGCTGTTTCACCCTATGAAATAGGCGGCGACTAGGTGGTATTGCTCGTCCTCCCTCCTGCGCAAATACTGCCTGTCTGACTGTTAGGAAATAATGGCTGACGATAACCGACCAGCGCCAACCTCTCTTGTCGCTGTTGCACCTGTCATCTCGATTTCGTCGTTCGACTCGGATTATCTAGAAGCCCGCATAGGAAACACCGCACCGCTGGAAGGCCCGCTAGTCATCAAGCGTCCGATCCCACCCAAGTGAATCTCAGCCAATCCCGTAGCTGCGCGTGTCCAATCGCAGTGCAGACGCTCAGGAACCCAGCTAATAGCGCTCAGGCGCACAACCAGTAACCGTATCCTGCTGCTAAGTACTCGCAACGTCGTTGCTGCAGAATCTTCTATTTATAATCGTTCTACTCCCGCCATGGCGATCGTCACACAAGTCTCTTTTGGCGATCTGTTTCCAGCGTCGACCTGTCTAGTCCTGATCTCCCCGTCTCGCCTTTCACCCCACGCTTCATGCCTCCCGCACCGCCTTTCCCTATCACCGCTTTCCCTATCGCCTCTTTCACTGTCATTCCTACCGAATTTCCGTCTCCTAATCTCGCACGCTGAAACGGCGTTGTCACCTGGCGAGCTTTGAGCGCCATATCTTCAATCCCATCATGACTTTGTATCCGTCGATTTCGATGGCGCAAGGCTTAAAATTCAACTGCTGTGATCGATTCCCAGCCGTCCACGTGGCATGCCAAATCGCCGTTAAGTTATTGGTCCTCCTGGCGGTGTGCCCTTCAAGATCGAGCGCGCTGCGACTAGGAGGGGCAGCGGCGAGCGAACCACGTCTCGCCACGTTGGTTCTTCTTCCGGAGAATAAATACGGAGCGCGTTGCCTGGATGGGAGGTATGGAGTGAAAGCTTGTACATGACATACTTCAGAAAATATGTTCCAAAATCTGTGCTTCAGAAAGATTGTTTCTGGCGCTGCATCCACTCGTAGGGTTCAGAAGCGATATCAACAGCACATGATTGTGCACTCACTGTTCACATCAAGGTGTGCTTCGCTGCATGGTGCTGTATGCACTCTCGACCACCATATTGAGCCATCGCTAGAATGTTTCTCCTCCCCCACTCAATTCCTCATTCCACTTCCCCCTTCACCCTTTCCCCGCTTGTCCCCGTTGCATCTATTTCAGTCCGCCGGGGTATTACTTCCGGGCGGCACCTGGGGAGCGCGTCACCTCGTGGCACATCCACTTTCCGGGCGGCGGGTGGTGCGCCACCAAGGGCCAGTGCGGCTGGCGGTCCGGGCGGCTGCTGGGCGGCACCACCAGGTGGCCGCCGACCAATAACGTGAGTGGAATCATTTGCCTGACAAATTTTCTCCCACATACGAAGTTACTTATGACTGACTTCTGATGATCCTCAAAGCAAATGTTCTTATGGACGGCCAGGGCACCAGTCATTCTTCGCTCCTCCTTAACCACTCAAACCACCCCGGCTGTATTGGCTTCGGCGCATTTTGGGCAGCAGCAAGTCCTCAAAAAAAAAAAAAAAAAGTATTATTTTGTACAAACGGCTTGGCTGTATTGTGTGGTTCTCCACCTCAAATCCCTCCCCCACTCTCTCCCTCCCGCAGGCCTCGTGGGCGCAGGGCAGGTTTGGGGGCATTCTGAGCAGCAACGAGGCGATGAACCCGTTCTTTGCGGGGTGGCATCTGGCGATGCCAGTCTACTGCGATGGGGGTGGCTATGCGGGAGCAGCCGGGCGCGTGGCCGTGGGGGAGGGGCGTTTCGTGTACATGGATGGGAGCAAGATCGTTAGTGCTATCATGGATGGTGCGTTGCTTGCGATGTGCGTTGAGGGATGTGTTTGGGAGGGATGTGTGAGAGGGTTTTGTGGGAGGGAGGGATGTGTGGGAGGGAGGGATGTATGGGGAGTATTTTGAGTCGTCCAACAAAAGTCATTCCTTTGGGGTGTGTAGTGTCATGGAACGTGCTAGTGGTAGTGCCTCATGTCGTACCTTGATAGTATGCTGGGGAGTTACGGAAACATGCAAGAGCGTGAGTTTTTGTCCCTCTCCCACCGCTCTTCTCACGCCTCTCTCCGTCTGTCCCTTCTCTCGGCTTCCGCCCACCGCTTTTCACCGTATCAGACCTGCTGGAAAACCGAGCAATTGCAAGGGCGACGACAGTGCTGGTGTCGGGGACGTCAGCGGGGGGGCTGGCAGTGATGCGCCTCTGTGACTCGCTCGCTGCTCTGCTGCCCCACGCCACCGTCAAATGCCTCCTCGACGGCTCCTTCTTCCCCGGTACGCTCGCCTCTCACACCGTCAAGTGCCTCCTCGATGCCTCCTTCTTCCCCGGTACACGTCCCTCTGCTCTCTTGCCCTCTCACTATCAACATCCTCCCGCCTGCTTGCATTACCTTTCCCGGTCTCTTGTACCTTCCCTCATTCACACCCCCCTGTCCTCACTCTCTCCTTCCTCCCTTTCCCATGGACTTGGCCCCAACCGCCCTCCCCCCCTCCCCACACCAGACGCCCCGGACCGCACGGGGCGAATGCACTTCCAGAGCCTGGCCCAGCATGTCTCAGCGCTGCACCAATTCTCCCCGCAGTCCCGCTGCGATCAAGGTAGGTACTCCACCTGCTCTCATGCAAGCAAATCTGCCTATGCCGGTGTACCTGATGCTATTTCAATGATTGAAGCACCTTCAAAACACACAGTTGTCTCTCCGTTCTAATCTTCCTCCCTTTTCTCTGTCTTGCCATGACTCATGTGCTTGTGTTTGCTCCCTTTCACACACTCCTTGACTCTTCCTTATCCCTGCCTGCAGTGACTTCTGTGTCTGAGCGGTGGCGATGCTTCTTTCCCCAATACGCCCTTCCCTTCGCCACTTCTCCCTTCTTTATTGTCAACCCTACCTTCGATAGAGTCTCATTGCTGATTGGTAACCAGCTTCCCAACACCACCAACCCCATAGGCTGCCTAACACGGTTGATTCGGTCACAGCCGAATTTATTGACTTCATTAGAATCACGTTCATTTCGACCACCGCTGGAGGGGCCCAACGGTTGGTGCTCGGAAAGAGAGTGCAGGGCAGCGCAGCGTACAGCTGCAGCAGTGTACAGTGGCATACTCGATATAGTGAACACCAAGAAAGGGTTTGGTGCATTTGTGCCAGTGTGGCTTATTGCACACAGCACAGTAACTTCACGGTTGTGGAGTGCAGTGAAGGTTGATAGGACCCCGATGAATGTGGCTGTAGCTCAATGGGTGACCTGGGGGAGTACTGATCCACCAATGCTTTACGCTTGAAAAGGGAGCATCTTTACATACGTTTCTTAAGAAGAAATATAAATGGTACACATACTACAGTTTCTTATTATTACAATGTTTACACCGCTTCCCGTGCATAAGTTACACCTCCCGCACTTTCCGCGCATTGACGATACATTGCGACAGAAAGTTGGTGACCAGCTGCACTGAATGATCTGGCCAGCGAGCTGTGCGAAACAATGCGTGCTGTCGATCGCAACTCCCAGAATTCGCGAGCACCAGCCGCCATCCCGTGCTGCAAATTCGCCAGGTTTTGTGCTCGCTGTGTCATTCCCTGTAAATCAGCATTCGCATCGCACATTACAGACGCTCGTGTTAGGTACGTTCCCCGAACCGCATGGAAAATGGGCGACCCGTCGCACTTGCAGCCAAAATAATGGCCAGAAAATCTTCATTCAATTTTTGCGTTAGTAGTAGTTACTGTTCGCGTCCATCGCGGCGCAATTGAGGACCACTCGCTTGCTCAGGCTCGAGGCGTCCAGTCCAACTTGCATAGAATTGAGCCAATTCTCGCAGTTACGTGTCAAATTCCAAGTCCAGCACAGACCGTTCAGATCATACACCCAGCGAATAGAGTCTCAGACAAACACAGCTCGGCAGGAAGCCACCAACTTGCTCGAACTTCAAATCGTGTCGCTAACTACCCGGAAAGCTAGTCGCTACAGACGACCCAATTTCCGCCATGCCCGCTCGTACGATTACCCGCAGCGGTCTGTCTGAGGGTTCGGCACGGCGGCTAGTAAAGCCCCAAGCTTTCACCCTCTCCTGAACTTTCACCCAGTGCGGCGCGATGAGAAATAAGCGCATGCAGTGCATGCCATGCACTGATAAGCAATGCTTCTCGTCACAGGTACGGTACCGCTCAATAAGAGCTCTTGCGAGGCCATCACAGGTGCAATTCCCTACCACCGGCAGTAGCGCATATCTCTGCTCTCTCCGTCACTTTATCCCGAGCTAGTGGAGGCAAAAATTTTCCGATCAGTCTCTTAAATTCCATCGTGAGTCTGTGACCGTCGATCATAATGCGAGGACTGCTAGCAACCAGTGGCCGTGTTCGAACTCCAGCCGTCCACGTGGCATGGCGAATTTCCGTGGCGCTTTTGGCCCTCATAGCGGTGTGTCCTTCAAGATCAAGCGCGCTGCGGCGAGTAAAGGCGCGACGAGCAGCGAACGAACCACGTCTAGCCACGTTGGTTCTTCTCCCGGAGAATAAATACCGAGCGCAATGCCTGGACGGAAGGTACCATGCGACACGGGAAAATATTTGCTACTATCTGGTAGTACGAGGTCCTCTCTCTGGCCGGAGACGGCGCTTTCAATAAGTTATTGCTCGCTCCTCCTTCGCCCCTCTTTCTCCGCTTGCCCCCCGTACATGTGTTTCAGTCCGCCGGGGTATTACTTGCGGGAGGCACCTCGGGAGCGCGTCACCTTGTGGCACATTCACTTTCCGGGCGGCGCGTGGTGCGCCACGAAGAGCCGGTGCGCAAGGCGGGCCGGGCAGCTGTTGGGCGGCACCACCAAGTGGCCGCCGACCAATAACGTGAGTGCAATCATCCACGTCACTTGTGCATTGACAGATTCCGTTTCCAGCATCTACACTCAAATTATTTGTGGTAGTTCTAAAAAAGATACCCCTTTTGTTGCATCATCGCGAAAATGGGAACCTCGGAAAGCAACTCGAAATACACTTTTCCGAAGCTTTCCCGATATTTTTTGCCCGGCACTTTTGAGTCAAGGTTTTAGAACTGCATGGCGACAGTCACTTACAAAGCAACTTCCGAGTCACTCTTCCGTCTCTAACTGTACACATTGGGGCAACTGACCAAGTATACAGTAAAGCAACATTTCCGTCAACTTTGAGCAACCTGTGCGAAGTGTCATGACGACGCCACGTGGCGTACACTGTACTCTAGACGAAACTCAGAAATGCTGACGTGGCGTCCACCGTACCCTAACGTCAACCGTCGAATAAGTTGACGATCAACGCACGTAATTCGTCTATGTGGACCAATCGGATCCTGCGATTTGTTGAACAGTAACACATTATTATTGGATGGCGATTAATACAAATACGCCCGCGACGATTGTGATTCATCCGATAATAGCAAACTCATAATCAACTTGTTAACACATTTAGCGTATATTTAGTATTCACAACTCACACACAACCTGTACACATTCTTTTTCCACCTACCCCTAACTTAAGGCTGCATTACTAGGTTTCTAGACCTGCGTCACTGAAAGAAAAACTCTACAAGTTAGAGCAGATGTAAACTGAAAAAACAGACATGGAAACATGTCAACAAACCAGAATTGCGTTTCTAGCGCTCACCTTTGGGGTTAATACAAAAGGAGTATGTAGTAGTGTTGGAAAAAATACAAAGTGTGTTTAATCGTTGACGATAAGCCTGCAGTAGCAGGTACGCCCTGCAAATGACGCAAAATGTGATTGTCGACATTTATACTCCTGCAAGAAAAAAGGTTAGTGTTCACATATGTGAAACCTGCACACATAATGTTGACGCTACGCACGACTTTAAGCTTCCTCCAATGGAACCGCCAAATGCATCGTACTTAGACTTCGCATAGTCGGTTGCGGCGGCTCCACCTACGACGGTTACGCAGGGCGACGAGATGCTGCACAGTGCTAGTCTCAAACTGAATAAACGTAGAATTGTAAGAACCAAGGTAACTTGATTTGTGACAGAAAACATAGGACATAAGGCGAAACCATGTGGGCCAAAACATGTCGTAGTAAACTTTTATACCTCACCAGCAATACATATACCGTTCTCATCGAGACACTTGCCGAATAGGCGCTTTTGCGTCGCCAGTTGCACGCATGTCGTCCGCACAAAGGCGTTGGACATTCGATCTGCGAAGGGGAATGGGAGGTTAGAGGGATAAATAGACGGTACATGTCAAACAGAGAGCTTGGTTCACAACGATGTGTATGCGCCAAGACAAAGCTCTAAACAACAATCTTTGCGCACGCATCGTAGTGATGACGTTCAATAACATAGGGCGCATCTGGGCTTGAAACATGTATAGCGTAGTTGCTAGTCTAAGGAACCTAGAGTGCGCGTATGCTGAACGTTGCACTGGACATCAACAAGGGGGGACTATGAGGTAGGTGTGGGTAGTACGGGAGGTACAGGTGTGGAGGGGAATCATGTGATAAAGATTCCCATGTTGAAAGTGAGGGGATATTGGGTGGACGTTTGTTGGGTTGGGTGTGCTGACGTGTAAGTATCGGAAGGTGCATATTGATTGACTCGTCACAGCACAACAATCATTGGTTCACAACGATTCTTTGGCTCACACGTCACCCCATGTGAAGAAACCAGGTAGCATTTGTGGGTTGGGTTGGGTGGTTGGGTTCAGATTGGATACTGAACGAAAACAATGTATGGAGTTGTTGCACCTCGCTGGACTTCGTGGGTTCGTTTTGTTTCGTTAAATTTGTGGTTACATTACACTGCCCTCGTCACTCTGCAAAACCGCATGGAATCTCTCTAGAACGTGCGACACCGACTGACACGGAAAAGTTGACGGAAAAGCAACTGGTGTACCGAATGTTGCGATTTTCGTGCATTGGTTTTTGGATACTTCGCGCAACTTGTACGCAAGGTATACGCAGAAAAACCTTCGAAGGCCAAATTTCGCAGCTTCCCTTTTTCGCGATGATGTAAGGACCGAACACCAAACTATCCCTGCTCTTCCTTCGCCCTCCCCTTCGACTCTTCATATCACCCACCCGGTCTCTCCTCATCCCCGTCCTCAGGGTTGCATTGTCTTTGGCACATTCCGAGCAGCAGCAAGCCTTTGAGAAAGAAAAAACCCATTGCGCCCGAAATGGAGTGTTGCCAACCGAAAGGAGCAACTGGCTTCTATCACAAGCTTCTTAACCGCCCGTGCGAAATTCGTGAAGTTTTGAGACGTCTCAAGACTTATAACACAAGATTCTCAACCGCCCGTGCGCCCTCATCTTCCCCACCACTCTCCCCCTCCTCCAGGCCTCGTGGGTGCAGCGCCGTTTCGAGGGCATTCTGAGCAGCAACGAGGGGACAAACCCGTTCTTTGCGGGGTGGCATCTGCCCTGCCCCGTCCCGTCGCCCTGCCCCGTCCCGTCGCCCTGCCCCGTCGCGTCGCCCTGCCCCGTCGTGTAGCCCTTCCCCGTCCCGTCGCCTCTGCTCCGTCGCGTCGCCCTGCCCCGTCGCGTCGCCCTGCCCCGTCGCATCGCGCCCGCCCTTTCCCCCGTCCCGTCGACCCTACGCCCTAGCCCGTTCTTCCGCTGCGACTAAGTCCCCCCACCTGAACCCTAATTTGCCTCTTACCTCCTGCTGTTACTCGCCTGCTCGTTCGCGTTCGTTCTCGCTATGGCGACTCCGCGAGTTCTTCGTTTCGACGCTGACGGTAGACCTCTTGACTTTTCCGTCTGGCTTCTTCGCGCTCGCCGTCTGTTAGAGAGTCAAGTCCAGGGGGGCGAGACCCTCTGGTCGCACGCTACTGGTGACCTCCCCGAGCCCCCCGAGCCTGCCGCTTTAGGTCCTGCCCCTGACGATGCTGCTACGGCTCGCTTTGCCCGTCAGCGCGCTGACAGGACGGCTTGGACGTCGCGTGACGCTGCGGCCTGCATCGCACTCAGCAGCCTCCTCCCTGAGTCAGAGGAGGTCCACTTCACTCAGGTTCGCACCGCTGCTGCGTACCTCACTGCGATTAAGGCCCGCTACTCTACTCCCGCTACTGTCTCTCTTGGCCGTCTTTTCCTCCCGTTCCTGTTTCCTGATCTCGCCTCGTTTGAGCGCTCTGCTGACTTGATCGCTCACCTCCGCTCGCTCGACGCTAGTTACCGCGCTGCTTGCACTGAGGCACAGCTTGCACTGCTTCCTCCCCCTATGGCGATTACTATATATTTCATCGCCACTAGCCTCCCTGACCGCCTTGCCTCCGTTCGCGACGCGCTTCTGCTGAAGCAC